AGATGATTAATAAAAAATTAAAGGAGAATAATAATTAATGCCAATGAACATGGGTTTATGCAAAATAGATCCTTTCAAAATAACATGATATCTATTTTATAAGATTACAAGTTTGGTTGATAAAGGTAATGGTGCTAATAAAATAGACTTCTGGAAGGTGTTTGGCTTGATACCACACAACATTTTGATTAAAAAAAATAGAACATATAAAAGTAACATGGCACACAGTAAATGGATTAAAAGATGCCTAACTGATAGATGTCCAAATGTTATTGTAAACAGGAAATCATCATTGACTAGGTGTGCTTCTAGTGGGGTCCCAGAGGAATCAGTTTTTGGCAGTATTTAACGTTGTTGTCAATGACCTGGAAGAAAACATTAAATCATCACAGATAAAGTTTGCAGATTACACAAAAATTAGGGGAGTGGTAAATAACGAAGAGCACAGGTCAGTGATACAGAGCGATCGGGATCAGCTAGTAAGCTGGGTGCAGCATTTTAATATATCTAAACATGAATGCCTGCAGCTAGGAACAAAATATGTAGGCTATACAATGAGGGATTCTATCCTGGGAAGCAGTGACTCGAAAAAAGATTTGGTGGTGGTGGAGAATCAGCAGAACATGAGCTTCCAGTGCAATTCTGTGGTCAGAAAGGCAGATTTATTTATTTATTTTTATATTTATTTAAAAATGTGATCCTGGGATGCATAAATGGGAATCTCAAGTAGAAGTAGAGAGGTTATTTTATCTCTGTATTTGGCACTGGTGTGACCGCTACTGGAATACTATGTCCATTTCTGGTGTCCACAATTCAAGAAGAACGTTGATAAATTGGAGGGAGTTGAAGGAAGAGCCATGATAAAGATTAAAGGATTAGAAAACATACCTTATGAGTTAGACTCAAGGAGCTCAATCTATTTATCTTAACAAAGAGAATATTATGGGGTGACTTGATTACAGTCTACAAGTACCTATGCTGGGAACAAAGTACCTATATTGGGATCAAATATTTGATAGTGGACTCTTCAATCTAGCAGAGAAAGTTGATGGCTCGAAGTTGAAGCTAGACAAATTCAGACTAGAAATGATGTGTAAATTTTAACTGTGAGGGTAATTAACCATTCGAACAATTTACCAAGGATTCATGGTGGATCCTCCATCACTGGCAATTTTTAAATCAAGATTGGATGTTTTTCTAAAAGATATGCTCTAGCAATTATTTTGGGGAAGTTCTCTGGCCTGTGTATACAGGAGGTCAGACTGGATGATCACAATGGTCCCTTCTGGCCTTGGAATCTATGAAACATGGAAGTGAAGGCTTTCTCCGGGACCAACAGCATAATACCTCTATAGTTGCTACATTTGGCCTTAGTGTCCTTTTTGAAGAGAGGCAGATTAATACCCATTATACACAAATAATGTAAATATATATATGGTTAATTTAATAATTTCCTTTAGAACTATGAGTGTTTATAGTATCAAGTGTTCCATCACTAACAAATATTAAAAGCAAGTGACCTAGCCACTTATCAAAATGTACTGTACTATACACTGTTTAGGCCTAGGAACAGAAAAAGTACTGCAGATCAGAACTGAATAATTAGCATGTAGGGGGATCTAGAGCAGGGGTCGGCAACCTCTGGCACGCGGCTCGCCAGGGTAAGCACCCTGGCGGGCTGGGCCAGTTTATTTACCTGCTGACGTGGCAGGTTCGGCCGATCGCAGCCCCCACTGGCCGCGGTTCGCCGTCCCAGGCCAATAGGGGTGACGGGAAGCCGCGGCCAGCACATCCCTTGCCCGCGCTGCTTCCCGCCGCCCCTATTGGCCTGGGACAGCAAACCACGGCCAGTGGGGGTCGCGATTGGCCGAACCTGCCGCGTCAGCAGGTAAATAAACTGGCCCGGGCCGCCAGGGTGCTTACCCTGGAGAGCTGCGTGCCAGAGGCTGCCGACCCCTGATCTAGAGAGTACTTTGTTTGACAGATATGCAATGCTCCGAATAAACATTACTGAATCAAATTAATCCTTGCTGAATTAAGTTTAATGCCTTGAGGTCCATTGTATAAAAATGAAAATGTTATGTGTTATTGTGAGATTGTATATAACTTCTCTACAGGAGGGGGTATCCTAATACAATTCTTTAGTTATCAGGCCTTCACCCTAGGGAGGGGACCCATTGCCTGGCTGATTACCTATTCCTGATCTCTTAAAAAGTTCTCTAGAAAGCTGCAGACAAAGACAGGATGTTGGGATAAATAACCTGGTGGTGAACTGACTCAAAGTTTTTGTTCTGATCCAGCAAACAGACAGGACTGCTGATCCACAGAGAATCCTAGTCGTTAGGGAAGGGTTGGAAGGACTTTGGCCTACTAAGGATACATAAGAGTTTCTTGTTCTAAGCAAAGGGTGTGATGAACTTCAGATCACAGGAAAACCCTGGATGGGGTTTTGAAGGAGTGCTCCTTCCAGAGCCCATGTTGGAGGGGGTGATCTCTGGTAAGCTTATTAGCATGCAGGTAGGCTCTTTTATGGTTCCTCTGTAGTGCTTTTACCTTAAGAATAAAATATGCTTGCTTAGAAAGAACTGTGTAGTAATTTACAACTGGGCAATTATGCTGGGGCAGTTACAACTGGGGCAATTATACAACTGGGGCAATTAAGTAAGCTGCAAGCAGTCTCTGAAGATACTTGCCCCAGTTGTAAATTTGTAATAATTGCCCCAGTTGTAAAGTACGCTAGGGCAATTCAGAGAAGCAGTTTCTGAAGATAAAGTGAAGTGGGCCTGCATAGGCAGAGCGTATTTTGTTGGGAATAACACAGTGAAAGCAGGGAATTGTTCAGCCTGGAAGTACCCTGGTCTCCACCTAAGAGAGGTGACAGACAGGGGAGACAGAAGCCTCTGAGTACCCTTGCTGGTCCACTGAAGGGAAATACAGGTGTAGTTGCCCTGAACTATGTAGTCTGGCAAATTATGCTAAAGTAGCTTGGGCTGCATAATTATGAGAAGGTGGTTGTGGATGGAAATCCTCGTGAGGCTATAAATTTTCCAGCTCTATATCTTTCAAAGAAATATGTCACCAACCCTGAAGCACACAATAGTCTGAACAATAGTGCAGAAATCTTCATTCAGCAGCTTGAGAGATGTCTCAACCTACCACCTAGTACTCAGCTTTCCTTTTCTAAGCAAGCTAATCAAGAAGCTGGCAAAAAACAGTCACCTGTCAGATGCCAGTTTCTTGGAACTCTCTCAGCAGAGAACACAGTAGCAAGACAGCTCTGGTTGTTTTGCCAGATGGCCTCTTCCTGTCCATAGACAACAGACCACAGAGCCATCTCATCCTGCTGGATGCATCTCTGCAGCATTTGATTTCATTGATCACCAAATACTCCTGTCCCATGGGTGAAGAGAAATCCTCTGTAATGGCTCAAGTCATTTCTCTCAGACCAAAAATTAAGTCCTTATGGGCAACTGTTCCTCCTCCTCCAGAGCCCTCACCCTACAGAGTCCCACAAAGCTCAACCTTTTACATCATCTTACTCAACATCTACAAGAAGCCATCAAGAGAGCTGGTGGGACAACACGGTCTGAAGTGTGAACAATATGTGGGTTACGCAAGAATCACTACAATTCCTTTAGCTCTAGAAAACATTATCTTTCAATTTTCTCAGTGCCAAAATAATATAAACATCGGACTCGAGAGCGGTTTGAAACAATGTAAGGTAACTTGAAAGTGATGCTGGTAGGGAGAGTGAAGCACTTTGAAAAATTCACCCTAAAAATGGTGGAGGTACCTGCCCTCAGAGTATAAAAATTGATTCTCAGGAGTCATAACTTGCAAAGAAGCTGAACATAGACTATAGAACTCACTCCCAGAAAAGATAAGAATGGCCACTAATTTCACTGCATTGAGAACTAAATGCAAAGCCTATTGCTTTGGCTTAGCTTTTCCTCAATAAATTTGCCATACACATCCACACACACCAATAGAATAAAGATATTTACTCCTACAGGCTGGGAAGGGGAAGATAGAGAGAGATGGTTAGTTTAGTTTTGAAATACTTATGAGATGCTCAGATATTATGCTAATTGGTGCCATATATGAACCTAGATAGTCAGATATATACCCTGTGGGCCTCAGAACTGGAAGTGTGTGTACTTTTCTTAACAAAATAATGCAGTTTCCTTTATTTATTTATTTTTTAAACTTAAAGCAGCATTTTGAACTGACTGTGAGGACTCTGCCATAAGCTTTTACAATTGGCAGAATTGTGCATTGGAGGAAGCTCACAAAGTCTTTACTATACATCCCTTTCACTCTGTCTGCCTGTTCCATGTAATCATTCCCTCACTCCCTTGAACTCCAAAGTGGATTAAAAAGAGTAAGAAGAACACCTAAAATTAGTGTAAAAAAAAAAAAGCCTCCAAAGTGTAACATTTCTTTCACTAGGTTTAATAGTGTGTAATGCCCTGATTTAGCATATATCTTGTGGAATCATAGACTTTAAGGCCAGAAAGGACTATTATGATAATCTAGTCTGATCTCCTTCATAACACATGGAATATCAAAAATAGAAATTCCATCATGTGGAACCTTAACATCTCAGAAAAGACTTCTTAATGGGGATTCAAATTATTCACTATTTACTGATAAAAGTCACACTACCAAAAAATAACACTTTTTCCAAAGGTGTTGACAGAAACAACAAAAAAGGCATATTACATAATATACATATAATCCGGGGATTCTGAATGAATTAACAGACTGTAATCCCTAAATTATTAGATGCTGAAAATGCTTAAAGATAATGGTCCTTGAATTTACAACAAGGTCTAGGTTTTGTCCTAATACCTCAAACTCTTATGATGTGTTAATTATCTCCACAGAGGTAATATACATGCAAACAAGTGTACAAATGTATTATTCTTGTGAAGCTTTCCTAGAATTACATTAAATTTACAAGAATTACATCTATTAAGTGTAACTGTTTGATTTCTAACCTTTATCTATTTATACTGAATATTTCTTTTCTTCAGTCAAAGGGTTCTACCAACAGTATAAAGTAATGCTGTCGTCCAATCCCATACTTCTATCTGTATATTTAATTATATCTATCTGAAAGAAAAGAAATAACATTATTACATTAAGTCTAATTTAAGTAGTTCACTTCTGACTGGTACAAATGTAATTCATTGTTTCCATGATTTATCAGATTATTTATGAAGTGAACCTTGCCAAATCTTTACCAGTAGCTCCATTCATAAATAATTTCAACATTTTTTATTTCATACACATTTTAAAAGACCATAGCACTGATGGATTATTGTATATGGGCTTTAAAGATTTATCCTAAATTATATGCTGTGTGACTGTAACAATTTTAAAAGGTGACATAAATTTCTTCCTTTGACAACAATAAATCTATTAGCACGAATAGTCATCTGTATGTATTTTACAAATCATGTGTTTTCTTGCTAAAGATTGTGTGGGTGAGTTTTAGTTAATCAGAGTGATTTAGAACATGGCATGAGTTGGGTACAGTGCCAGCAGATACTACACAGTCTGTTTGAGCCAATAACAGCTTTGTCAATGTGGCTCATTTGTAATTCACATCATCTCAGCTGTTCCAGTCCTGGGCTTCTCGAGAAGGGACTGTCAGTTCTGCAGAAGTGCATGATGGTACTAATTTGTCTATTTAAGAATTTTGACAAGGAACAGGTGCCCATCACGACTCTCTGGAGGAGACCAAGTGCATCCTACACAGTGCTAAGCCATTCTCAGATAAGATCTTGTTTGTTTGTCATCAGTACCATATATGATCCATGGTTTTGAAGGATGCAGAGAGATCTAGCAATATCAACAAAGAATCTGATTTGTTGCTTAAGAGCAGAAGAAGGTAGTCCCTTAGTGCCATGAACAATGGGCAGTGTTCCTCAGGGCCATTTTGGTGTCACTGCCGGGTCTGAAACATGACTGTGATATATATATATTTGGGATTTTTGACAGATATTGCTGGAGCTTGGGGTCTCAATAACTTTACCAAAAAATTGGGATTGGAGAGTGGGTGGCATTCAGTGAGGCTGTTTTAAGGGTTGGCTTCTCCAAGGTCTGAGTACTGCATTCATTAGGATAACTGATAGTTTGCCTTTTTGAGGGAGGCACGGGTTATCTCAGTTATCAAGGGGACTAGGTGTTTCTCAGTGGACTTCACTTCTCAAGAAGGACAGGGGGTCAGTTTTAGAGACGCATGAAACACTTCTGCTCACCTTTAGCAAGCTGGTGCAGTTGTGTTTGAGAGGTACACAAAGGATTCAGTTGTGTCATATGTCCTTTTAGCTTTCTTTATGGCTGCTGAGTATATATTGTGACAAAGTCAGACCTGACAGATCTAAAAGGGTGGTTGAAGGCAGGTATATCGGTCTTAAAGCCCTCTTCCTATGAACGGAAAGAAGTTACCTCAGGTTAATTATGGTCACCAGAGTCGAATACGTGATCTCTAAAAAACTGATTCCAGTTAGGAGAGAGAGGGTAGAGGAGGGATGAGAAGCAAGCTGCAAAAGAGCTGTGTGCAACAAGGGGAAAAGGCTCCTCCCAGGTAAAGAGTTGTTTTTCTCTATAAGGGAAATCTTGTGTTTATTTCTGTTGGGGGAGGGGACCTGGGTTCCCAACACAGTGTGGGTTAGAGAGTGTTGCTGGTGATTGGTAGCAGCATAAGAGGAAGCAGGGCCGGCTCTAGCGTTTTTGCCGCCCCAAGCGCACACACACACACACACAAAAAACCACGATCGCGATCGGTGGCAATTCGGCAGCAGGTCCTTCGCTCCGAGAGGGAGTGACAGTCCCGCCGCCGAATTGCTGCCGAACGTGCTGCCCCCCTCTTCATTGGCCGCCCCAGGCACCTGCTTGCTACGCTGGTGCCTGGAGCTGGCCCTGAGAGGAAGTACTCCAGTGGGACTTACGAAATTTGTCTGTTTGTTTAAAGAAACCTCTAGGCCAACCCTAGGGCCTGCTCTGTAAATAAGGCAACTTTAAAAATTAAAACTCCTTATAGGACTGATTTTCTCCAGGTCCCAACACCAGAGGGAAAAATGCTAAGTTTTGCTATGATGAAAGAGTTGTGTTGCCACAATATGAAGTTGCATCTTGAGAATTTCACGGGTTGCCAAGTGGATCTTGCCCCATACGCACTTCACTCAACTGGTTTTTTACTTCACTAGGTAGAGTTCATCAGAAAAATCACAGTAATTTTACAGAGATGGTGTCAAGGCTGTATCCCCACTTTGAACTTTAGGGTTCAAATGTAGGGGCCTGCATGAAAACTTCTAAGCTTATCTACCAGCTTAGCTTTGGTCCGCTGCCACCATCACAAGAATTCCCTCCCTGGGAAGCCTTGAGAAACCTTTCACCAATTCCCTGGTGAACACAGACCCAAACCCCCTTGGATCTTAAAACAAGGAGAAATTAACCATCCCCCCTCCTTCCTCCCACCCTCCTTTCACCAACTTCTGGTGAATACAGATCCAAACCCCCTTGGATCTTAAAACAAGGAGAAATCAATCTGGTTCTTAAAAAAGAAGGCTTTTAATTAAAGAAAAAGGTAAAAATCATCTCTGTAAAATCAGTATGGAAAATAGCTTTACAGGGTAATCAAACTTAAAGAGCTCAGAGGACCCCCCTCTGTCTTAGGTTCAAAGTACAGCAAACAAAGATACACACTCTGGTAAAAAGGTACATTTACAAGTTGAGAAAACAAAGTAAATCTAAGACGCCTTGCCTGTCTTTTACTTACTAGTTTGAAATAGGAGAGACTTGTTTAGAAAGATGGGGAGAACCTGGATTGATGTCTGGTCCCTCTCAGTCCCAAGAGCGAACCACCCCTTAAAACAAAGAGCACACACAAAAGCCTTTCCCCCCCCCAAGATTTGAAAGTATCTTGCCCCCTTATTGGTCCTTCGGGTCAGGTGTCAGCCAGGTTACCCGAGCCTCTTAACCCTTTACAGGTAAAAGGATTTGGAGTCTCTGTACACAGAGAGCTGTTACCCTTCCCTTTATAGTTATGACAGATGGTATAAGGGAAGAGGCTTTGAGGAGCAATCAATGGCTTCAGTCAGTAGTTGGTTGTCGTCTTCTGCTAGTTTGTCAACTCCTTCCGGACATTTTCTAGAAGCTTCATTCACTGAAATGGAAATGATTGATTCATTTAATCTTTATCATGAGAAGGTGACGGTCTCTGCAAGAGGACAGATTGTTGTCCACTCTACCTGATCCAATGCCAAAGATGAGCTCTAGTGTGTGTTCAGTTTTGTGGGTGATGCTGAAGGCAACTTGAGAAAAATCTATGGTAAGTAGGAAATAGCAAACTATGTTGTTAGATATGTGGTCTATGTGGATGTTCAGATCTCTCAGGACAATGACTCTTGAGAGGTCCATTATGATGTTAAATAGGAGCTCTGTTATTTCTTCCAGGAATCTCACTGGCCTTCATTGGATTTCTCACCAGGTTATCTGTACATCAAGGATATTCTTGTGTTTATTTCATCCCTGGATTCACATATTAGGACTGTACATTCAGATGACTTAATTTTCAAGCTGGGACTCTTCTTGCATTTGAGATCAAATGAGAAAGTATGGCCACATTGCCTTCTTGCCTCGTGTATGATACAGACAAAGACCCACCGCAGACAGTGAGGAGACCACCAAGCTAATCTTCATTTATGAGCTAACAAAAACAAAATTTGAGATTATGGGCCAAATTCAATCCTGGACTAAACACGATCTTTCATTGGATTTCTACCCAGTTCAGAGCTGTACTTGGTCCTAGATCTACAGAGATGAAAGACCAGTAAATAATCCATTGTGACATCTAGACACCAAAAAGTGACATGTCTTGAGGTGATTTGGTATATATTATACACTAAGTGTGCATGTGATAAAACCTGTTGACCCATTGTACTATCTTATTTACAATATAAAGATATATACTGTAACTAAGAACAATATTGATAGATATAAATTTACCATATGGGTGTTTATATATACACTCACAATTTATCCTCACTGTACCATATGCCACCACAACATGATTTACTAACATTCAGATAGATCTAGAGAAAAAAAGCACACAGCCAGCCAATTAAAATCTGACACTTACATAACAGTTTGTACAGCTGCACTGCATCAAAATTTACAACACTTTTCCCCTCTGTAGTGCAGTCAACCATAACAAATGCTAACATGACACAATTCCACTCACAAATAAAAGTAAGGACTAACATTTTGATTTGAACCTAGCATAGTCATCAAACAGCTTTGCAATTTATTATACTGAGCTGTTCCAGTATCAGAAAGAAATCAATAAAAAAGGAAAAGGAAAAAGGAAAGATTTTATGTGATACAAATAAAACAGGCTATAGAGCAGAGTGGTGAAAACTATTTATTTCATTCATTGAGGATGACTGTACAAGTTGCTTACTGTTCCATTCCCATTTACCAGTTGTAAGTTTTCTGGCCTTCATTCTCTTTCACTATTATACTGTAACTTTTGGTAAATAAGATTCCCATCTTTCCTATTTTAAAGTTTAATTCTCCTTCTAACTTTTATATACCAAACTAACATTCCCCTCGCCCCGGCAAACATACACACACTTTAAGGCTATTTTAAATATTTATTACAGGCAAATGTAAACAGTCAAATAAATGAAATCTACAGAACTACGTATCTAAAAGATTCAAAGCCCCAAATTACTATCTAACATGACTTCAAATTATTAGACGTGGTGCAGTAGGAGTCTAATTTACCATATTTGAATACGAAAATCCTTCAGAAGTACACCGCTACCTCGATATAACGCGACCCGATATAACATGAATTCGGATATAACGCGGTAAAGCAGTGCTCCGGGGGGGGAGGGGCTGTGCACTCCGGTAGATCAAAGCAAGTTCAATATAACGCGGGTTCACCTATAACGCGGTAAGATTTTTTGGCTCCCGAAGACAGCATTATATCAAGGTAGAGGTGTATTAGATTTGTCAGTATTTTTCCACTCTATGTTGGATTGTAACTGAATCCTGCTACTTTAATTCCAGTGCTTTGCATGGTTTGGTCCTTTCCTAAATTTGGCTTTAAGTTGTGATGTTACCACACATTAGCTGCCACTTGCTAACTAACATGTTTTAAAAGTCTAGTCTAGACAAGGCACCCTACCTTTAACATGTACTAAACTAGTCAAGTACTAACATCATACTTTTATTCCTAGTCTAGATAAATGCATGGCAAATATGGTGTACAAGTGTGATAGTCTTTGCTCATGGGGAGCATTGCCTAGCAGTCAGGGCTTAGGCCCTTCAACCTGCAGAGGGGGTTTTTGGTGGGAGAACCTGGGCCCTCCCATTGCACTGGGCCCCATGAAGGTGACACAAGGGTCTGACACCCAGGAGCACATTAAGGCTGCCTTTCCTGGGCCACTTCCTACCACTCAGCTATTGTCCAAAGTTCATAATCTACCAGAAGAGGCTGTGAAGGGGGTCAGCTCACCGCTTGGCATCTCTTCACAGCCAGGCATGGCATGGTAGCTCTCTCTCTCTTGGGGAGGCAGGTGCCTCCTCTTCTGTCTTGGCCCTTTGGCCAGGTCAGTCCCAAGTCTCTCCCCTTCCAGGATAGTCCATAAACAAAACACAGAAGCTGCAAGCTAGAAGTCTTTCCTCTTCCCTAGTCTGTTCACAAGGATACTCTTCTGCTTCTTTTCAACTCCTCTTCCAGTCTGCATCTTTTGAAAGTGTGATGGCGCCAGGCTAGCTGAGCCCAAAGCAGCTCAACTGCTTGCTGCCCAGTGTGGGGTTTGTATACCCCATCACAACAGGGTACACACGTAGTAATCACAGACCCCTTTTAGTATCACTTGAGCTGCTGGAAAAGGGCAACAGCTGTCATAGCAATGCATTAATTTCTACATATTGATACTGCAGTAGCACACAAAGGATCTGAGACCCATTTTGCTAGGTGCTCTACAAACAATACAAAGACACTGTCTTTGAGCCAAAGATCTTGCCATAAAGACGACAAGTAATATACAACAACATCTGGGGGAGAGAGAGACACAATCATATCACTTGTATATATATGTGTAGTGAGGATGCGCGGCCTCCCACCCTGTCAGAAGGGGAGAGACCCGAAATCACCCCCTGGTGGGCAGAACCAGGCCACGTGTGGCCACCCAGCCGGAAGCAGTGGGGCGGGACAGGAAGCGGGATTATAAAAGGCCAGCCTCCTAGCTCAGGAGGGGGGAGCTCTTCCAGCTCCGGGCTCTGGCAGCAAGAAGGAGACAGTTGCCCGACCAGAGGAGTTACCTGAATTGCTGGAGACCAGCAATGCCAACGAA